TTTTTGCTTGGAGGTGTGATGTGTGCCAAGTTATCATGTTTAAACCACAGCCAATAGTGGGAGGGCCCTGGGTGGAGACTCGAGCAAAGTACTCTTCCCAAATGGCATGTGAGTTCTCGACTGGCCTGCTCAGCCGCCTCTAAGAGCCTTGGGAGTAGGGGGAAATTCCAAACCTCTGGTTCAAAAATGCTCAGGTAGCATTTCTTTGTGAATGAAGGAGACAGGAGCTTGTGGACCCCAGGACAACTCTGATTTCTCAGCATCACCATCCAGAGAGGCCTCACTACATGACTGAGCAAAGAGAGGAAGAGCTGGAGCTTCTGCCACAGGAAATGGTGGTTTGAAAATGGGAGCACAGGTGTCGTGCTGATGGCACGCACACACACTTGCCTCCTGGCTCCATCTTGTTATTGTAACATATCAGCCAAGTGGGTCACTGCTCTTTGCTTTGATTCCTGCCTTGGGCCATTCAGCAGACGATCCTGCATTCCTTCTGGTGATTTTTAAACAAAAAGGTACATAGAAGTCTTTTTCCAGATCCATTTTTGTGGATTCTAATTTAGCTTAGTTCATCAAGTGCATATTGAGTGACCTCCTGCCCTATATTGTTTCAGGTGGAATGGAGGACACAAGTAAAGAATAACGTACAGGGCCTACCTTCATGGAACTTGCAATCGAAGTGGGACTTCTATATCTTACTAGGTAGAAAAATGTAATATTTAAAGAAACATATTGTAATCAAGGAACTGCTACTAGAATTCCTCTTTGAAAAGGAACCGTATTTGTTTAGGATAGTACCTTAATGAATGCTAGAAGGCAGGTGGAGACCCCCAAGGTGGGTTGGATGGTTCTGTATGAGAAAGGAGGAAGGTGATGCTTGTGCAGAAACGGAAAGAGAAAGAAAGGGTCTGGGCCTGCTAGGTGATGAAAGCTGCTTGGTTCACAGTGGAATTTGCTCCCTGGGACCCTCCAATCTTCAGTAGAGGACTTAAACCCACACAATTCTTGGTGTAGGTTAAAAAAAATTTTTTTTATTTGTTTGTGGAAACTGGTTGTATTAGTCTGTTCTCATGCTACTAATGAAGACGTACCTGAGACTGGGTGATTTACAAAGGAAAGAGGTTTAATTGGCTCACGGTTCCACATGGCTGGGGAGGCCTCACAGTCATGGCCGAAGGTGAATGAGGAAGAAAATCACGTCTTGCATGGCAGCAGGCAAGAAAGCTTGTGCAGGGAGACTCCCATGTATAAAACCAACAGATCTCGTGAGACTTATTTGCTACCATAAGAACAGCAGGGGGGAAACCGCCTCATGATTCAATTATCTCCACCTGGACCCACCCTTGACACATGGGGATTATTACAATTCAAGCTGAGATTTGGGTGGGGGTGCAGCCAAACCATATCCCTGATGAAGGGACTGAAACTTGCACCCAAGACAGCACAGAATAGAGCAAGAGGAGCTGTAGGAGCAAAGACTTAGAGAACCACAAGAAAATTACTCCCAGAAATTACAGAAATCATGTGCAGCTTGACCCCAACAAGCTGTAATAGTAGCACCTTTTTCATATTTATTCAAATTCCTAAGAGCATGGAGTCTCTGACATTTGACTTCCATGTAAATATCATAATTAGAGAATAGCAACAAATGGATGAGCACCAAGTGTAAAAATACTTTGGCCTACTATACAGGTGGGGAAACTAAGCCATAAGTAAAGAACAGATGGGGCTGAAGCATCTCTGGACACCAGTGAAGAGACTCCTTTGGACTTGAGATCAAACTCATTTTCTCGTCTTTCCAATCAATCAGCAAGAATTTACTGAGACTCTACTATGAACTGAGTACTAAGAGAGCTGCAAAAGAAGTGTAAGAGATGGTCTCTGGTCTCCTAGAACCTAACATTTAGTTGGAGAATTGAGGCTAACGAAGTAATTGACATTTATTGACCACAGGATGGATTCCAGACATTGCTCTGGGCACTTTCCGTACATTACTGCGTGGGTTTCTTAGAACAACACTGTGAACTTATTGTTATGCTCGTTTTACAGATAAGAAAATTGAAGCCACAGAGGATGTGAGTAGCCTATCTATAGTCACAGAGCTATCAACTGGTAGACCCAGAATTTGAACCTATCTATCTGGCTCCAAATACTATCACTGAAAATGGTCTCCATGGTAAAGACGATGTTGCCAAAATTCAGGTTCTAAGATACATGACATAAACCACAGGTGTTGGTGCTGCAGGAGTTCAAGGGAGAGGGAAGAACAAGAGCTGGGATGGCCAGGAATGGTAACCCAGAGAAAGTAAGATTGGCCTGGGCATCAAGGTTGGAAGGAGAGTGTGGGGTGGAGCCTGGGGCCAGGGATGAGCATGTGTTGGGTGGAGGGTGGTGAAGGATGGGTTGGCTGCTCAGAGGGCTTTTGACTCAAAAGATTTGTGTCAAAAGGGCTTTGACATCACCAGTGCCTTCTTTATGGGGACCCTATCTCTAGAGGCTAAAACACAAACCAAATAATCTGCAGTTCTCATCTTATCCAGCTCTGTCACTGACTTTTTCTGTGGCTCTAGATACTCCTGTCTGAGTCTAAGTGTCCTCAAAATAAAAGTAGTGGGTTGGGTGAAATAAGCACTATGCTATAGTTCCCTTAAGGTGAAAAAAAGCCTATGGTTCCCATTTGTATTCAAAGGTTAGGAAAAAAATTAGAGCTTATAAAATATCTTTCAGGACCGTGGCCAACTTGTGTCTCAGATCTAGATGGACTGGCAGAAGCTTGTCTTAGGACAAAGGTGACAGATTGCTTTCATCCTCCTGAGACCCTAGAAAGATAGAGAGGGCTGGCATTATCCTGTCCTGAAGCCTTGGTGCTGCACCCAGTCATCGTTAGTTTCTGTGAGTTGGTGAGCAGCAGAGCCACCAGCACCGGGTGTGAGGGACAGGAGGCTGACTCGCCAGGCATTACTGATGCACTTTCTTCGTGTTATTTTCCAATTCCAAGGTACTACTTTTCTGTTTGTTTTATTTTTTTAATCTCAAATGAAATTGGAGAGAAGTAATATCTTTTAAAGTGATATAAATGGCAGGGTGTTTCTTCTCAAATCAACTGTTATATTAGAAGTTCTCAAAATATCTATGATAGAATAAGAAAGAGGAACTAGTCTCAAAATAGTAAGTGCTACTATACTAGTTTGCTGGATCAGTTCCATAGGCTGATGAAACACAAAGTTCAGGCTACTGACTTTGCTTCTTATCCTGGTATTTGAGTGATTTCTCCAGTGGTTCCTGATGTGGATATCATAAACCTTGAATAGATCAATCACACACACACACACACTCACACTCCTGCACAGAGGGTTCTCAGTGACCATAAGTCACTCAGAGTAGAAGTGCTCCCTCCTCTAGCATCAGCAATGATTTGAAATGTCATGTTTTATACAAATTCATAACTCTCTGCCTGCCCCCTAACTGTCTTTTTTCAATCAGAGCATATGGCTGTTGACGTATATTTACTTTAGGAAATAGAATCCATAACCAAGGTGTTTGCAAAGTCAGCTCAGTAAGATTCCTTGGGCTAATTGATGTATGAAAGGCCTAAGGAGAAAAAGAGAGGCTCTTTTCAAACTGAGAAGGAAACTTGTGGTCAGCTATCAGGGTGGAGGCCCCTTGGATCTTGGTACGATGCCTTATACGAATTCATTGAGATTGTCTGTATCTTTGGTCAACTCTGTAAACATCTGGTTCTGTCCACGATGATTCTGTTCCTTTGGAACTCACTTTTTTCTTTTTCAATTTCTGCCCCACAAATTCATCACAGGTTCGACAACAAGCAGGCTTATTCCACAATCATCCTTATAAGTTTCCCTTACACCTTAATGTTATCTGGGGTTACTCTATTTAGAACTTTAGTGTGAATACTCTACTTAGAACCCTAGTGCTTCATGTTGGTCCCCACTGTTCATACCCTGGAATAACTTTTCCCAAGCCCATAAGTCTTTTTGGCTCTCCAAGAAGTCTGTCTTTAGTATTCAGCCACATTTCTACTCCTAAACCAAGCTCTAGTTTTTGAGGTTCTCCAGGCTGTTTTCCTTCTCTGCAAAATGGGAGTAATGAGTGTACCCACCTTGTAAGATTACAGTGAGGATTAAATGTTAGTATACATGACGTACTATCAATATATAGCCCATTGCAGTGCTGAATAATTGTTTATTATTATCTTACTGAGCTACTTGTCTTGGGGCAATAGTTCTCATTCACTGTTTCTCAAAGTGTTGCTCCTGGTCCAAAAGGATTTGGTAAAGTGGGTAAAGGAGAGAAAGCAATGAAAGTTGTCTGTCTGATTTTAAGACTTGGTGATTAGTTCTCAGGCTAATTTTAAACATGAAGATGATTTAGAGGAAAGACTAAATACTTTCCTTTCAGTTCAGGTCTGCTGGGTTTAACACAGTTATTTGCATAAAAGGACAACAATAGCAATATTATGTTTATCTTTTAAAAAGAAAAGTAGATATTTCTTTCTCCCAGTGTCTCATGAGAGTAATGTGAATTCACAGGGATGGCACACGGAACCATTATGTTCTCTTTACTCAAAATGGATACAGGACACATTAGAAATCTTAAGATAGAGAAACTGGGCAGAGAGATTGACTTAGGAGAGATGAAGATAAATTTAATTTTAGATATGTGGTAGTTGAGTTAAAAATAAAGCATTCGGACAGAAAAATCTTGATGAAATTAAGAATGTGAAAGTATATAGAGAGAAATTAGAATAAGAAAACAGACATAAGAATCTTCAGTGGTCTAAAGCTGATCTCTAAAACCATGAAAACAAACGTCTCCCTTGGGAGAGAATGCAGAAATAGAACATGAGGCTCCTTTAACCGACTTCATGTAGGATGTTTTTAAACTCGGAATACTTTTGAGATTGCTCTTTGACTTTTTTTTTTTTTTTTTTTTTTTTTTTTTTTATTTTCTTTTTTTTTTTTTTTTTTTTTTTTTTTCAGAGACAAATATATGGCCAGTGTATGCTTGGCTGTTCTTAGCGGGTGTCATCATTATTCTCATCATGATTGCAATAATGCTGCTGAGACGAAGAGGTAGGTGTCTGGCAATAAAGACATTCTCATCACACTCTTTGTGGTAAGCAGGGGACCTCTTGCCACAGGCTCGGACTTGCTGTCACCACTTTGACTTTCTGCATGGGGCCACCTTTGCAAAAATACTAGATAAACATATCCTGGCTCCTTGCTTAATTCAGTCTAATTCAACATGTCTTGATCCCCTCTACTAGGCTATGGAGAGAAATAGAAGAGCCACAGGTTTCTAATGTGAGTGACATTATTCAGATAATTTCAGTTCAGTGTGACTAGCACTGCCGTCAAGCTAAATACAGGATGCTGAAGAGGTGTACAAGAGGTTTAAGAGTATTCACTGAGAACAGAATTCAGAAAATTCTTGGATCTCATCCAAAAAGTCACCCAGGTTAAAATGAAACCAGTAAGGCAAATCGTTCCCCTGCAGCTTAAGCACCTAGAGGTCCCATGCCCTGCCCTCTCTTCCAAATTTCCCTATGCTTCAATATCTCAGGGCTTTATGCTCTCTTCAGCCACCCTGACTACTACCAATCCACACTGGAGTCAAAATGTCCTGACCTGGACCAGGACAGATGCCCTGGCTGCCTTCCCATGGTAAGGATAGAACTTGATCCTCATACCACCAAGCTGATGACTGATTTCATTCTCAAGTAGATCAATATCACCTACACGTAACCTTCTTAGAAAAGCCCTTACCTCGGCACTCTGATGTTGGTTTTGCTTATATATAAAAAAATCTAGATCATAGCACAGCAAACTACTTGTGTCTCATTTCCTCCATCTAAGAGTTAGCTAGGGAGGAGGGATGGGTGATTCAGATAGAAATTATGTTGACAGCCTATGGGGCTGCAGGTGGGGCAATCACATTTAGCTTGTACTATAAAGAAACAGTGAGATACCCGGGATGAGAAAACTGAACTGAACTTATCCACATTAACCTACCTAGCAAAGTTGCTGGGATCCTACCCCATACACTTTCTTCAACTACACTTGGCTCATCACACGGTTTTGCTCTAAGGGAATAGTGTGCCCCATTCCACAATTCCCCACTACCTTCCCCAACACATATACCCATCCTCACCTTATCTCTAGTCACCATTTGTCCCTTGTAAGTTAGCAACACAAAAAACTCTGCCTCACACTTGTGGTAAAATTTATATTTAGTTGCTATAGTTTCCAGAAAACATTGCTCAAGAACTTCTGTTGGCAGCTTCTAATGAGATAATCTTCAGAATGCAGCCTGACTCTGAAAACTTTTCAATGGACTCTTTGGCAGTTTCATGTCCAGGAGAATACACTGATTAAGAATGTGGGTATGGGCATTAGGCAAACTTACATTCAAATGCAGATTTTGCTACTGACAAGCTGTGTAGTCAAATGACTTAACTTCTCTTCTGCAAAACAGGGGAAATTTATGTACTTCATGGTATTGTTGTGGAGACTAGTATCAATACACAGAAAACACTACACACAGTGGTTCCCATGGATGGGTGTTAGATAGATAGATACATACATAGACAGACAAATCTCTTAGTGAAGGTGAGTTAAAACACCAATGTTTAAGTGTTATGGCCAGGAGAGGGCTGCACTGGAAGCATCTGGAAACAATACCTAGAACAGGTTTAAAGTATTTGAAGTCATGGTAACATAAGACTTTATGCTTCAGGTAAGAGCTGAAAAGGATATTAGATACTCTACACTCTCATTTTACAGTTACGGTAAGAGAAGAGATCCATTGAAATGACATGATTTATGCCACACAACTAATGATGGCTAGAATGTAAATGTCCTAATACTAAAGCCAAGACTTTTTCATAGAGCCTAGGACCTTGCTGACTTGGAGCTGAGTTGAGCTTGCTCCTGAAAACCTGTTCTTGCAATGGGGAAAATCATCTGAGACTAAATTAACTTGGTCCAATGGTACTTTTAAGCAGCAACAATCAACCTCACCTTTTCCATCTGTCTAACCATTTAGGACTGCCCTCCCAATTTGACATTTGAGTCTGAGCTGACTGCAAGACTGAAAGTCTTTGAGGACTGGAGTCTGTTCTCTACTCTATTTGTAGCCACCACAGCACCTGAGAGAGTGCTGGGCAGGCATGTCTAACTTTGCAAACACTCATGGGGACTAACATGCACCCCCTTTGCTACCTCCAACTGCTTCTTGAGTCCTTCCCTCCATTTTACACACACACACACACACACACACACACACACACACACACGCCTCAGGATCAACTCTGACCAAAAAAGTGAAGTTGAAACCGTGAGGCACACCATGCTCATACCCACACACACACAAAAAAACCCCATGTTGACTTTCCTTGAATTCTTGGAACTTCATCAGTGGCTGGCCAACATTTCCTCCCCAAGACTCACACCATCACACAGCATATTCTACCATGCTTACCACATACAGACCAGGCCCTTCCCTTCCCCTCTTACGGGAATAGAGATCAGCCTGGCCAACATGCTTGTTGCACAGAGCTGATCTACAGGGATATACATCAAACTTTTAAAAGTGGTTTCTTCTTTTCCCCTCCCTCCACCCCTTCTTTTCACAGGTATTGAAAAAAAATGGTTTCTTTTGGGAATAAAATTGGGTTGGTTAATGGGGAAAGGGGACTTAATACTTTTGACTTTATACTTTTCTTCACCATTTTTATTTTATGGTGAGAATAAATTACTCCTACTATTTAAAAAGAAACTTTTAAAAATTGGCTAAAAATTAAAATGTTCTATAACTTATTAATTTCCAGAGACCCTAGGCCCTGAGCAAAATATCCAGATGGTGGGCGACAGAATGACATTGTTGCTTTATTTTCCAAATAGTCCCAGATGGAACATCCCTGCTACACGTCCCCCCACCCTCATCCCCCACACATTGATTCCCCCAGAAATAGGGAGGTGAGAAAGCTGCCAGTGAAGCAACATACTACCAGCTGGAAAATACAAAAGAGGTATAAATAACTAGCCCTGCCCTCAAAGAACTTAGAAGCCTATTAGGAGACCAGATATGCTCATTGAGCAACAGAGATTAAAATAATTGAATGGTACACCAATGAGAATAACAGCTAATGCATATTGGGCATTTGTTATGTGCCAGGCAATGCTCTACACACTTTACAAGTGGTATCTCATTTAATTACCACAACAGCCCCATGAGGCAGGTATTTCAAATCCCATTTCACAGATAGGCCTAGAGAGATCAAGTAACTAACCTAAGACCACATGTGCAGGGGGTTTGGGACTCAGGGCTTTGTTTCTATGGTACTCTTGGGGAAAGTGAGTATGCAAAGGAGAGTAAAGACCAGAAAGGTCTGAGTAGGAAGCTCCTGCTGGGGACCAGAGGAAGATAACCATTGTGGTTTCTTTTCACCAGGTAAAACGGACCATTACCGGACAACAACGGAAAAAAAAAACCTTACGATCTATGCCCAAGTCCAGAAACCAGGTGTAAGTTCTATACATTGTTTGAGATGAACCTGTCAAGTTTCCCATGGGATTCCTGGCCAGTCTACCTTGCCTGTTAGACATTCACAGTTTCCCATCCAGAGCAGAGGAAAGTAGGGAACAAGAGTCAAGAACAAGAGCTTTCCTATAGGTCACTAAACCTCAGTTTTTGAAATAATGGGATAATTTTCTGATCATGTTTCTTCATAGCAAAGAAATGAAGAAGCTGGAAATACATGCTGTATGACTCTTTCCAGCTCTGGCATTCCAAGAGTCTAGGGTTCCATGTTACTGAATTATTCCCTCTAGGGAAAAGAATGCAGGCTAGAGGAGAAAGGAGAAGGTTTGGAAAAGCTATTGCGTGACATGTTGGAAGTGACAGGGAAGGTAGAATCTTCAACATTTTGGCTAGAGTGTGGTTAAAGAGATGAAAGGTGATATGTAGGCTGGAGATGGAAGAAAGCAAAACTGTGATAGAGTGATCATTGGACTCAGAAGTGAAGAATGGAAAAACTGGGCCCATGATGAAGTTGAGAGCAAATACGCTAGAAGGAAGAGATAGAGATGCTAAAAAATTGTGGTTAGATGTAGAGACACTGTGGTTTTTCAACATGAAGGCAATTCTTGGTGATGCTTAGGCCAGAATCTGGCCATTTGAGGTGTAGGGATAGGCAAATTCTTGAGTAAAGGATGTGAAGGTAAAGACAGTTTTTATTAGTACCTTAGAAAATTGCATCAAATGACAGCAAATGCACTTCTGAGAACCAAGAGATGGACACTTGGACAAAGTTCTTATTTCTGCTGTCCCCTAGTGGCCTGGAGGGTTTATTACAGAACCCTGCTTCATCCTTCCCCCTCAACCAAACTCCATTTAAACAGATGAGAATCCCAAGAGTAACCCTTTTCCTCCATGCTCTCATCTGCATATTTAGGTAACCAGGTTCATCTTTACCATGGTGTCTTCCCTCACTACTCTATCCTATGCTGCTAGCATCCCTCTCTTTTACTGTGAAGAATGACATATGGAAGTCACTACCCACATGGTAGCTTTTTAAATTTAAATTAATTTGAATTAAATAAAATTTAAAATTCAGTGGCATTCGTCAGTTCAGGACTGTCCTCCCAGTTCAACATTTGAGTCTGAGCTGAGCTGCAAGACTGAAAGTCTTTGAGGACTGGAGTCTGTTCTCTACTCTATTTGTAGCTACTATAGCACCTAGGAGAGTGCTGGGCAGGCATGTCTAACTTTGCAAACACTTGTGCGGACTAACTTGCACCTCCTCTGCTACCTCCAACTGCTTCTGATCACACTTTGAGTCCTCCCCTCCATTTTACACACACACACACACACACACACACACACACACACTCTCTCTCTCTCTCTCTCTCTCTCTCTTTCTCTCTCCCTCTCTCTTTCTCTCTCTCTCTCACACATGCCCATTCCTCAGTCAGGATCAGCTCTGACCAAAAAAGTACACAACACATAAATGTCAGCTCGATGAATTACCCATAAGTGTATATCTTGATATTTGGTAAAGCAAGTCTTCCTAATTTGTTTTTCTGCAAGAGTTTTTGGCTATTCTTGTTCCTTTGTATTTTCACATGTATTTTGGAATCGACTTATCAAGTACAATGAAAAGAAAAAAATTTATTAGGATTGCATCGAATGCAGATCTATATGAGGAGAAATTAGGTCTTTCAGTATTGAGTCTTTTTTTTTTTTTTTTTTTGAGACAGAGTCTTGCTCTGTTACCCAAGCTAGAGTGCAGTGGTATGATCTCAGCTCACTGCACACCGCAACCTCCTCCGCCTCCTGGGTTCAAGTGATTCTCCTGCCTCAGCCTCCCAATAGCTAATATTACAGGCATCTGCCACCATGCGTGGCTAATTTTTGTATCTTTAGTTTCACCATGTTGGCCTGGTTGATCTCAAACTCCTGACCTCAAGCGATCTGCCCGTCTCAGCCTCTCAAAGTACTGGCATTACATGAGCCACTGTGCCCAGCCTCAGTATTGAGTCTTCTAATACCACAAACCACCACGCAGATCAAAGAATAGAACATTGCTCATACTTCCTGAAGGCCTTCTGTGCCACTTCCCAATCATTACTTCCTCTCTCTTCCCAGAACATAACTACTATCCTGACTTCTAGAAATACAGTTTAACTTTCCTTTTCTTATGTTTTGACCTTTATAAAAATTGAATTTTTTATTCTTTTCTCTCTAGTGTCTGATTTATTTTGCTCAGTATTATCTTCATGAGATTCATACATGTCTTTGAATTTAGATATAATGCATTCTTTTTCATTGCTTCATAAAACATAAATGTGTGAATATACTAGAGTTTATTTATCCAGTTGACTGTTGATGGACATGTGGGTTATTTCCAGTTTGTGGCTATTATGAAAGTTGCAGCTGTGAAATTCATATGCAAGCTGTTAATTGGACATGTACGCATATTTTTGTTGGGTATATACCTAGGAGTAGAATTACTGAATCACAGGGTATGCATATCTTCAAATTGACTAGATAAGGCCAAGCTGTTTTTCCATTTACTTTTCTATCAGCTTCATGTGAGCATCTCAATTGCTATGTGTTCTTTTTTTTTTTTTTCTTCTTTGAGACAGAATCTCCCTCTGTTGCCTCGGTTGGAGTGCAGTGGAGCAATCTCAGCTCACTGTAACCCCTGCCTCCTGGGTTTAAGCCACTGTCCTGTCTCAGCCTCCCAAGTAGCTGGGATTACAGAAGCACACCACCACACCTGGCTCATTTTTGTGTTTTTGGTAGAGACAGAGTTTCACCATGTTGGCTAGGCTTGTCTCAAACTTCTGATCTCAGATGATCTGCCTGCCTCAGCCTCCCAAAGTGCTGGGATTACAGTTGTGAGCCACTGTGCCTGGCCTCGACTGCTCTGCATTCTAATGAAAACTTGGTATTAGCAGTCTAATTTTAGTCCTACTCTTGGATGTGCCTTATTATGCTTTTATTATATCTCTCTAATTATTAAGGAAGTTGAATAACTTTTCATATGTTTATTAGCCATATTAAAATTATCTTTCTTAAAGTGCCCATTTGATTTTTGCTCATTTTCCTTTGAGGTTTAAGTCTTTCTTTTATGGACTAGTATATGCTTTTCATATATTTTGGATATGTGCCCTTTGGCAGGTATGTTAGCAAATACCTTCACCCATGGCTTTCCTTTGGAATTTTTTAGAGATACCTATTGATAACGAGAAGGTCTTAATTTTGTTGTAGACCAATTTAGTAAGCCTTTTTAAGTATTACCAGATTTTATTTGCTAATATTTTGTTAAGAGTTTTGTTTTCCACTTATGTTTCTGAGTGAAATTGGCCTGTAATTCTTCTTTTGTAATGCCTTTAAAACAAAGATTTTATTGTATTTTAAGTTCTGAGATACACATGCAGAATGTGCAGATTTGCTACATAAGTATACACATGCCACGGTGATTTGCTGCACCCATCAACCCATCATCTACATTAAGTATTTCTCCTAATGCTGTCCCTCCCGTAGCCCCCTACTCCCAATAGGCAACAGTGTGTGATGTTTCCCTCCCCCTGTGTTCATGTGTTCTCATTGTTCAACTCCCATTTATGAGTGAGAACAGGTGGTGTTCAATTTTCTGTTCTTGTGTTAGTTTGCTGAGAATGATGGTTTCCAGCTTCATCCATGTCCCTGCAAAGGACATGAACTCATCTTTTTTAATGGCTGCATAGTATTCCATGGTGTATATGTGCCACATTTTCTTTATCCAGGCTATCATTGATGGGCATTTGGGTTGGTTCCAAGTTTTTGCTATTGTGAATAGTGTTGCAATAAACATACATGTGCAGGCGTCCTTATAGTAGAATAATTTATAATCCTTTGGGTATATACCCAGTAATGGACTTGCTGGGTCAAATGGTATTTCTAGTTCTAGATCCTTGAGGAATTGCCACACTGTCTTCCACAATGGCTGAACTAATTTACACTCCTACCAACAGTGTAAAAGCCTTCCTATTTCTTCACATCCTCTTCAGCATCTGTTGTTTCCTGACTTTTTAATAATCGCCATTCTAATTAGCATGAGATGGTATCTAATTGTGGTTTTATTTGCATTTCTCTAATGACTGGTGATGATGAGCTTTTTTTTCATGTTTTTTGGCCACATAAATGTCTTCTTTTGAGAAGTTTCTGTTCATATCCTTTGCCCACTTTTTGATGGGGTTGTTTTTTTTCTTGTAAATTTGTTTAAGTTCTTTGTAGATTCTAGATATTAGTCCTTTGTCAGATGGAAAGATTGCAAAATTTTTCTCCCATTCTGTAGGCTGCCTGTTCACTCTAATGATAGTTTCTTTTGCTGTACAGAAGCCCTTTAGTTTAATTAGATCCCATTTGTCAATTTTGGCATTTGTTGCCATTGCTTTTGGTGTTTTAGTCATGAAATCTTCACCCATGCCTATGTCCTGAATGGTATTGCCTAGGTTTTCTTCTAGGGTTGTTATGGTTTTAGTTCTTACAAACATTTAAGTCTTTAATCCATCTTGAGTTAATTTTTGTATAAGGTGAGGAAGGGGTCCAGTTTCAGTTTTCTGCATATGGCTAGCCAGTTTTCCCAACATCATTTATTAAATAGGGAATCCTTTCCCCATTGCTTGTTTTGGTCAGGTTTGCCAAAGATCAGATAGTTGTAGATGTGTGGCATTATTTCTGTGGCCTCCGTTCTGTTCCATTGGTCTATATATTTGTTTTGGTACCAGTACCATGCTGTAGGCTTGTAGTATAGTTTGAAGTCAGGTAGCATGATGCCTCCAGCTTTGTTCTTTTTGCTTAGAATTGTCCTGGCTATATGGGCCCATTTTTGGTTCCATATGAAGTTAAAAGTAGTTTTATCTAATTATTTGAAGAAAGTCAATGGTAGCTTGATGGGGACAGCACTGAATCTATAAATTACTTTGGGCAGTATGGCCATTGTCACGATGTTGATTCTTCCTATCCATGAGCATAG